CCAGTTCCAGGGGAATCTGATGCCCTCTTCCGACCTTGGAGGGCATTGCACGACAGGGGTGCACTTACACAATGCCCTCGGTATCTCATACCATATTTCTTGACTCTTTTATTTCTAAGTGTTTGGGGAAAAAACATAGTACACATTTATTTTTGTAAATATGTCTGCATGTGTGCACATGTGTGTACACTAGGTAGATTAGACTGAAGCATTAGTGTGAACAGAATCCCCTAAGAAAGCTTATTTAAAAATGCAAGTTCCAAGGCGCCTTTCCAAACCTAAAAACTACTTCAAAAGCTCATTAGCTAGAAATTCTGCATACTGCTAACAAGCATGTTACATGAAGCGATATCCCTGTCAATGAACTTTCAGCAAGTGTTCCACTGATCATTTCAGAAGGGCAACATCTGTCCTGCCTTTGGCTTGATGTTTCATTGAAATTTTATGAAAAGGACAATTTGATATCTGATTTGCACTCTCTCAGAAATTAGTACTTTAAAGAGATTTGCCTGAGGGGCTGCCACCTAAGAATTAGCAATGAGTCCATTATCACAGTGAGTTGGCATTTAAAGTCTTATCATGGGAGAAAAAACAAAGCCAGCTGCTGCACTTTGGGAGCCCATGCATAGAGAACCCCACACCTGAATTATTGCATATTACCCTGAGGAGACAATGCAAGCTAAAGCTCCTTCAGGACTTACTAACTTCCACATTGACACAGGCAGAGCTCTAATGCTGGGAACTAATATTATCGTTGTTTTAAGGAACAGATGTGCGTCTCTTCGACATTACCTATTCTCTTATTCTTACACTCTTCTGTCAGTCAATATAATGCTTAAGCTTAGCAGCAGGAGCCAATGAAATAGTGAAATAAAAAAGGGTGGATGGTGGCTCAAGTTCTTTAGTTTCTCGAAGGAAGTTAATGTATCTCAACACAATTAAAGCATCTGCCACTACCAATTGCAACCCCAGGAAGAGGGAAGACAGCAAATGAGATCTGGCTTTGTGACTGTCGGGAACTTCTTAACACATAAATAAATCTTCTGTGTGAAGCAAAGGACCTTCTGTTAGAAACAAAAGAACCATGCCCCAAGGATAAACCTTTCTAAAGACATCTCATCTTGGTGAATAACCACCAGAAGAGTGGAATATAAATCCACAAAGATGAGAAGGCCTCAGGAAGGTGGGGTGGTAAAATAAAGATCAGCACAGATTTGGAGAAACACCATCCACCTAGAAGTATGACACTAGGTTCCTTGTTTTACATCTATGAGAACTCTGAGCTGCTTTGAACAACAGAAAGTGACACTATGGCCAAGTTTTGGAGCTAGACCAATGGACCACATTCCAGAGCCATCTCTGGAGATCTTTCAGAATCCTGAGTCTCCACTACCCAGATGTTGTTCTGCTGTGAGAAAGTCTGAAGTGCTAACAAACAAAGATCAGGCAAGAAAGCAGCGTGTGGGAATAGCCAAGAAGCTAATTGCTCTAATCCCACCCATTCGAGACATTTCAGTAGAAACATGTTTGGAAGAAAGTTAGCCTCATAAGAACAAAGATCTGTTTGATCACCAGAATGCATGTTAAAAAAAAAAAAAAAAAGGCCTGAGCTTGTAATTCCACTGTTGGGAAGGGAAGATGGAGACAGCTGGATACCTGGAACGTGATGGCCAGTTTAGCCTAATTAGTGAGCTCCAGGCTAGTGAAAGTCCCCGTCTCAAAAAAATGAGGTTGGGGCTGAGGAGATGGTTCAGCGAGTAAGATCCCCAGAACCTATGAAAAAGATGAGTACGTTGGGGGCTCGAGAGATGGCTCAGTGGTTAAAAGCACCGGCTGCTCTTGCAGCGAACTGGGGTTTTGTTCCCAGCACCCACATGGCAGCTAACAATGGTTTGTTACTCCAGTTCCAGGGAATCTGATGTCCTCTTTTCTGCATCAGAACATACACATAAAATAAAAAGTAAACAAAAAATTTAACACCCCGGATAATGGAAGGATGTAGAGAAACTGGAACCCTCATGTAAAACTGGTAGGAATGTAAAAGAAGTCAATCACTTTGGAAAAGATTTGTCAATACCTTAGAAAGTTGAGCATAGAATTACCACAGGTCAAGAATTTCCATTCCTAGAATAATTGAAAACATATGTCCACACAAAAACCTGTACACCAATGGTGAGGGCAGCTTTATTCCTAATAGGCAAACAGTAGACAATCCAAATTCCCATCAATTAATGAAAGGGTAAATGTGGTCTTTCTATACAATGGAGTGCTGGTTAGCCATAGGGGATGAAGCCTGATCATGTTTTAAATATGGATGAATCTCAAAAGCATTACATATCATGAAACCAGCCAGTCTCAAAGGGCCACTTATATGATTCTATTTACCTAAAATATCCAGAAGGGACAGAAATTATTTGTGGTTTGTTGAGGACTGGGGTACGGGATAGGGAAAAAATGATAAGTGACTGCTGATAGGTTTGAGGTTTCTTCTCAGCTGATGAAGCTATTCTAAAGTTGATGGACTGTGAAAACACTAAGAAGTACCCACAGAATTGTGTAATTTAAATTGGTGAAATACATGGTATATGAGCAAGTGTGCACATATTGTGCACATATGTAATCCTAGAATTCTGGAGGTGAGGCAGGAGGATTAGAATTTCAAGGGCATCCTTAACTATATACCGATTTGAGGCTGGCCTGGGCTACATGACACTTGGCCTGGAAAACACTCCCCCCACCCCCAAAGTTACATAGAGCTGGGTATAGTAGTATACACCTTTAATCCCAGCATTCAGGAGGCAGAGGCAGTGGACCTCTGTGAGTTCCAAGCCAGCCTGGTCTACATAGTGAGTTTGAGGCTAACCATGGCTATATAGTGAGACCCTGTCTAAAAACAAAGTATCCATATCATATCCATAGAGGCATTATAAAAATTTAAACCACATTATAGACAAAAGGCATTGCTTTTATAGTGTTAAATGGATTGGGCCATGCATCAAATTCAGACAAGTGATACTAGAAGAGTTAATAAAGAGTCCCTACAAAGCTTCCTGCATTATTATTGGCCTAATTTAATAGGCAAGGAAGCCGGGCTTTACAGAAAGTTAAAGTCATATAGGGAGTACAAGATGGAAGCTAGGTTCCACCCTAGGTAGGTAATAGCAGAGCTGAGGCCTTTTTATTGCTACAAGACTGCTCCAGGGGAACAAGTGTCTCTGTTCTAAGATGCAGGCAGGATGGGGAATAACCATTGCTGAGAATCTTTCCACAAGATTGCTCTCTCTTGCTGCTGCTCAGCAGAAAGCCCTTAGCATTTGGGCGCCTACCATCTGTTTAATAGACATCATAGAAGTCTTGGTTTCTGAGATTTCTGGAGTGAAATTCAGGACAAAGCAATCTCTTTGCAAATATTCAGGCAGCTTTTCTCCTTCAGGGAAGAGATAAAGCGATGTCTGCCTGCAAATGTGAACATTCAGCGAGGAATGCTCAGATAGAAGGCTTTGTGACAGCCTCTGATGGTAAAAGGAACCTCTGCAAATCCATAATAACATTAACTGTCCGGAGATTTTTTTTTTTCAATGTCCAGTACTGCAACTGAAGACAATGCTGATTCTTGAGGGTAAGTCCAAAATGGCAGACTTCTATTTCTCACAGGCGTTTCTATGCCTTCATATACAGAGTTTTGTTTAACTTTTTTTTTTTTTTTTTTGCCTGATTAGCAAATGAATCTCTGGACCTAAGTCTTTTTATTTTGGATTGTTTCTGTGAGCTAGATTCCCAGATGTGGAATAATCTCCATACAAACGGTATGAACATTTTTAAGGCTGTTGATTGGCATCGCCAAAGCTTTGCAAGAAGATTGAACCAATTTACACTCCCACCAGCAGTGCAGGAGAATATATTTAAATGCAAATCTTAAGCAAGCAGAGTGTCTCTTTCTTAGGTATTTCACTTAAAAAAATTTTTTTTTAATGCTAAGCAAAAGCTGACCCAGGATGTTAAAAAAAGAAAGTCTGGTATAAAAGTGGGATGTAGTTTAAACAGTTTGGGCAAAAAATAAGCTTTAAAAAGGCCTAGGCAGGATGATAAAAATGTTAAGGCGCCACAGCATGAAACACAACTCCAAAGGGGCCATTAACATTTTGGTTTAGGTTGGGATGGTAACCGACAAGACTGTTGGGTGTGGCCAACGTACCAAATTCTAATTCATAAAAAGCAGAATATTAATACTTCGTTCTAAAGACGACTTAAGACGTCCAAAGCCAGAGTCTGGAGTAGCGTCTGAAACTCAATCCTGTGAAAACGATAGACAGCCGTGCCCCTGAACTATGATCAATGCTTATCTCGTCCTCCGCGGTACAAGACGCCGGTGTAACCTAAGTCCACGGGGAGCAGGGTGGGACCCTGGGTTTGGCCGACCCCTCCAGTCACGCCCCGGCCCGGGTGTTGGGGCCAGGCCGGTACATGCCTGCGAGCCTTCCATTACTACTTCTCCAAGCCCCATTCCGACCCGCTCATCAGAGAGGCCCCAACTCGGCCCTGCCACTTCTTCCTCACTTCTGGTCCCCTCTCCATCCCTCCTCTTCAGGCCCTCCCCAGCTCCTCCTTCGCCTCCTGCCCCCAGGGCTCTGGCCCTCCCCAGCACACCGCTATCCCGGCCCCTAGGTCCTCGGCCGGGCTCCTCGCCCCTCCCCCAGACTCCCGCAGCCAATCAGCACGCGGCCCCGCCCCTCGCGGCGACTCCGGGGCGGGCCGGCCCAGCGCAGGCCGCGCGGGTCTGAGGGCGGTGTCGCGGGCGGGAGCGATGGGGCCTGGCG